ACAGCAGCAGCAGCAACAACAACAAGCAGCAGTAGCAACTATTTGCTTAGCCATCTCACTCAGCTCATCAGTCGAGGGTAAGCCTAGTTGGCAGCAGCAGCCGCTACTAATTGGCTGTTAAGTGACTGGCAGTCAAATTTAACAGCTGGTTACAAATGCTGACAGCTCGATAGATCAGTCTGTCCATCAGTCAGACTCTGTGTCTAGCAGTCATTAAATCTGTTCATCAATCTATCAATCAATCATCAATCAGTCTCTCATTCAGTCTGTCAATATATCTGTCAATCACTCTATCTGTCAGTCAATTGTATAGTCAATCAGTCTGTCATTCAAGCAATCAATCTATCTCTCTGTCAATCAGTCTTACTCTCAACTAGCTCTCAGGCTGTCAATCAGTCCATCAAGCCAATCAGTCTATGCATGAGTCAGTCAGTTAGTCAATTAGTAAAGAAGGCTATCAATCAGTGCATCAGTCACCCTATTAATCAGTCAATCGTCCTGTGAATCAGTCCGACAAGCACTCCATCAGCCAGCCAGTCAACCCTCAATCCATCTGTCTGTCAATCAGTCTATTATCTATCAATCAGACTATCAGTCTATCTATCTATCAATCAGTCAGTCTATCAATCTATTAATCAGTCTAGCAATCATTCAGTATATCATTCAGTCTACAATCAGTCTGTCTCTCAGTTACTCTATCATTCAATCAATCAATCAATCAATCAATCAGTCATTCATTGAATCCATCAAATAAAGCCAACCAATTCTTAATTGTTCCCAAGCTGAGCAAAGATAATGAACTCATATTCGTAATATCGCTCATACGCCACCGTTAGTTAGTTCAGTTAGTTCAGATCAACTGAGCAGCTCCATGGATGTAGCGCAGTGTGAATATGAACATTGTTCCGCCAAACAAATCTATCATAATCAATTACATGCATTTCGCTAGTTGCTTAGCTGGAAAATCCCTCTTGCTCATCATTCAAAAACAGAGACGACTTTACTAATCCATTCTCCCTCTCCCTCTCCCTTGCCCTTGCCCTCCCTCCCTCTCTCTCTCTCTCTCTCTCTGCTCTATCTCTATTGTTGTTTGGCAGTTACTTAGCCCATATACAATTGTCTTGGATTTTTTACATTTAAACTTTCACTACTTGCTTAGCTGTCATCTTAATGTTAAACTTGCTGTCAAACTTGACAAGCAGTTTCAACTGATTGCCAAATTTTCACATTTGTTGGCCACAACTCTCACTTTAGCTAAGCTGCCTGTTAAATTTGACACTTTGCTGATCTTCATGTCAATTTTAACATTCAGGTAATCAAATGTAAGTAAATTGGAATTAAAAAATGCGAATGTATTCTCTAGTCGTATCCATCCGCTGCGTCAGCTACGGAGATGAGCAACCAATATATTCATCGTCATCATCATCTTCTTCATCATTATCATCATCATCATCTTGAGCGGGAACTCCGCTCAGCTGTAAACCACATTCATTCAAAAATTACAGCCAAAAACTCTCAAATACAATGCGATTGTAAATTGCTCCAGAAATTCCCCTAGGGTCAAGCAAAAACGTTTCCATCGGCTATGCCCGATGGCATAATACTCGCTCACAATTCATAAAAGTTGCTTAACATTTTATTTATTGATTTGGAAAAGTGGACGAGAGACGAAGCAAAAATAATTTATTTATTCATTAATAATTATTTTGTGCCCCCGAAAGTAGTCCCCATCGAATATTATGCAACTCAGCCAAGGTTTGGACCATCCTTCAAAATATCATTTTTCTGGTCTTCAGCTGTTACTTCGCTGTCGTTCTTAGATTAGAGGAGACGCCAAATAGTAAAGCGCCCGCGCACACCAAACTAATATACCCACTTTCAGGCATGTGAACGAGCAGCCATGAGATTTGCAGGCAAAACCCCAGGAAAACAAAGGTTTAGTTATTTCATAAAATATATATAGGCATGTTTAGATACATATATATACATATATATATATATATATATATACATATATATATATATATACATATATATATATATATATACATATGTGTGTGTGTGTGTGAATCTATATATATTTATATATATATATATATATATGTATACATATATATTTATTTTTTATGACATTTTGGAATGATTATAATGTAGTACATCATATTGTATGTGTGTGTGTGTGTGTTGGTGTGTGTGTGGCACAGTCCACGCATTACAACTAGAATAAAGTCTAACTCCATAAACTCGCTGTCTGTGTGTGTGTTTTGATTACATTCATTTGTTTTTTTTTGTTGTTGCATTTGTTACGTTTCTTTTTTTCTTCCATTTATTTTATTTTATTTAATTTTATGTAATTTATTTATAATTTTCATCTTTTCAGATTTTTGGAGAGGAAAGTTTCAGTTGTTTTTTTTTTTTGTTTTTGTTTTGTTTGTTTGTTTTATCGCTACATAGGCACGTCAGTTCTATTTGTTGTTGTTTGCATTTGTTTTTTGTTTTTTTTTTTTTGTTTTTGTGGTTTATTTTTTTTTCATTTCTTTTCGCTTATAACTAATTTTAATAATACATTTCTTTAAATTTTTTTGTTGTTTTTAATTTTTGTATTGCATACAAAAAGAGCTGGAAAAAAATTGATATATATATATATATATATATATATATATATAAGTGTGTGTGTGAATAGAAAACAGAAAATACTAACTATATACACATATCTATAAGTATATATACTATATATCATGTCTATATAGGAGCGTGTGTGTGTGTGTGTTTTTGGGGGGTTTACAATTTCAAATTACAAAAATACTAAACTATCGATAGGCATATCGATAGACACAATCTCGCTCAGTTAAGAGTTCAAACGCTCTCTCTCTCTCTCTCTCTCTCTCTCTCTCTCTCTCGGACACTCTGTCTCTTTCTCTCTGCTCTTCATTCGATAGACCTTAGTCATAAGAAGCCATAAGAAGCTGTAAATACAATCGACTTGACGATTCAAAAATAAACTATATATATTTATGTATTTAAATCGTATGTATATTAATATACCGTAAATAAATAGAATTCTCAGTATTTTGTTGTTTATGTAAGTGTTGTGTCTTCTTCGTTTCATATCTCTTTTGTTTTTGTTTTTCCTTTTGTCTAATTGGCTAATTAAATATTGTTCGCTTGTCTTAAGTGTGTGTGGGGGAAGGAGGGAGGGCGGGGACTCATAATATCTAAATGTTTTAACAATTTCATCTATTGCACTCTAAATAAAAGATATATAAAATAAAATAAGAAAATGCTGCCTTTCTATGCGCTTCACAGCAGAAGCAAATTGCATTTATAACACATTATTGCAAAATATTTTGTTGTTGTTGTTGCTTGTTATTGTTGTAATTGCACTTGTTAATGTTGTTGGTATTTTTTTTTTAATTTTTCTCTTTTTTTTGTTGTTTAACTTTAGTTTGTTGTTCTGGTTATTGTTGTTGTTGTGTTGTCTCTAGTTTCGCTTTCATTTGTTCCATTTATGCATAAATTAACATAATAATAATAATAATAATAATAATAATAATAATAATAATAATAATAATGATAATGATAATGATAATAATAATGATAATAATGATATTTCACTAAAATTAAAATTCAGTACTTTAATAAATTGCAAATTGCAATCTACATGTGTGTGTGTGTGTGTGTGTGTATTGTAATGTCTTGTATATAGCCTTCTAAGCTAATACGAAAAAATATATATAATAATATGTCTATATGTCTATTTATCTATGCTATCTACATCTATATAGATATAGATTTAAATACCAAAAGTTGTAGAAAAAAAATAAATAAATGTTCAGTTAACATTAACCATTCACATTCACATTCACATACATCATTTAGTTGTAGTTTGCTTGACAGTATTTAATAAATACTAGTTTTTTATGATATTTTAGTTTAACTATTAGCGGCGCCAGAGTTTCAAAAGTCCAAAATGTTTCAGCTAACGACTAAACAATTGATTACAAAAAATATGGACATTTAATAAAAAAATTAAAAAAAAAAAATATTTATCTAATATAAAAATAATATATATATAATATGGAAAAAGTAGACCAAATGGTTTTTTATGTTTTGGAATGACCGCTTTGCGTGTGTGTGTAGATGGATGTGTGTGTGTGTGTGTGTTCTCTTACATTCTAGGAATGCATATTATATAGGCGCTATATGCGTTTCACTATCGATCTAATACAAAAAAAAAATATATAGATATACATATATAAGTTCTGCTATACTATACATACATACATATTCATATGTAAATATATATATACATATATATATATATATATATATATATATATATATATACATATAGGTTAGAATACATTTGATGTAGTTGAATGCAGCGCATGATTTGCACATTTAAATACTATATAAAAAATACAAATTGTTGTGGATTTTGTTACTGCTGTGCATGTGTGTGTGTGTGTGTGTGTGTGTGTGTGTGTGTGTGTGTGTGTGTGTGTGTGTGTGTGTGTGTGTGTGTGTGTGTGTGTGTGTGTGTGTGTGTGTGTGTGTGTGTGTGTGTGTGTGTGTGTGTGTGTGTGTGTGTGTGTGTGTGTGTGTGTGTAATACTTAAAAAGTTAGGGAAAGTGCGTTGGGCGGGGCCGGGAGGCATTTGTCGTCTGTCAAAGTTATCGTTATCGATACTGTCACGGTCATCGTCATCGTTATCGTCGTTCATATTGTCAGCATAATTGTTACGTTCATGGTTGGCGTCACAGTAACTAGAAATGTCATTGTTATCGATATCGATATCGATATCGATATCGATATCAATACAACAAAGATTCCAGTCATCAATACTGTCATCAACATCGCAATCGGTAGCTGCAACTATTATTGTTATCGCTTTGAAAATGTTTTGTTTGTGATCATCTGATATCGTTATCGATATCGCGATCAAAAATTGGTCATTAGTTATGGTTATTGTATTGTCAATTAATCGGTATCGCATACCACTTTTGTCGTCTGTATGTCTTTGTCAGCGTTATCGTTATCGATAACAAAATTTTGAAAAAATAGATATATATAATATATTCGGTTTGTTGTCCAACGGGCTTGCTAACATTTTAAATTTCACTGTTATCGTAATCGTTATCGCCCTCGTCGTCACATTTATCGACTATCGTCTGTCGACTATCGATGACCGGCATCTAGCGCGTAAAGGCACTGAGAAAATGTGGTCCACCCATATCGAACTGCTGCTGCTCAAAGACATCATCGACCATGCCCCCAACACCCGCCACATTCACCCCATTGGGCAGACCAAAGTTTGCCCCATTGGCCGCCAGAGTGGCTGCAGCTGCCGCCACAGTGGCCGCCTTCAGTTGACTAATCGCCAGCATTGGCGGCTTATCGCCGGGCTTCCAGCGCCGATGAATGCCCATCGACTTGAGTTTCTGACAGACAGACGACGGCGATATATTGATGCCCTTCTCGGCTAGACGAGCGGACACCTTCCAGTATTGTATATTGCTATCCTCCTTGATCAGTTCGAGTATCTCACGTGTGATCTCCTTGTCGCGCAGCTCCCGCTCGGCGGCCTTCAAGCGGCGACGCGTATGCAACAGCTTGCCGCCATTCAAGGTAGCCGATTGCTGTTGCTGCTGCTGCTGCTGCTGTTGGTAATGTGATGTTTCCGCTGGTGTGTGGCGCAGCTGCTGCTGCTGCTGTTGCTGCTGTTGTTGCTGTTGTTGTTGCTGCTGTTGTTGCAGCAATAATTCTTGCTGCTGTTGGCGCTGCTGTTGCTGCTTTTGCTGCTGCTGTTGCTTGCTGATCAGCTCCATTTGCTGCTGCTGCAGCTCCTGCAGCTGCTGCTGCTGCTGCCGCTGCAGCTCCTGCTGATGACGTTGCTGCTGCTCCTGCTGCTGCTGCTGCTGCTGTTGCTGCTCCTTGGCAGCCAGTGCCGCCGCCTCGTCGCGCCCCTCGCTGCGCTTGTTGCGATAGGAGAGCGGCACACCCTTCAATATGGCATCGCGCACCTTCCAGGCCGTCATCTGGGAGACATTCAGGGCACGCGCTATCTCCATAGTGGATGCATTCTGTGCCACCAGCAGCTTGGCCATCGCATACTTCTCATCATCGATGAAGACGTTCGGCTTGCGCGGCTTCTTGCCAGGCTGATGAATTGCCTGTTGCTGCTGTTGCTGTTGCTGTTGCTGTTGCTGTTGCTGCTGGTGCTGGTGCTGATGCTGATGCTGCTGCTGCTGCTGATGATGATGGGAATGCGGGACAGGCGCAGTTGTATTGCTGCCAGAGCTGCCATTGCTAAGAGAGAGCGAGAGAGCATTAGCATTAGAAGGAGTCAGCAAACTATTGAAGCGCAAGACTCACCTCTCGTTGCTGTTGATGGAGCGCAGGGACAGGTTGACAGGCAAAGCGTGACTGCAAGAAAGTTGCTTAATTAGTTCTAAAGCTCATGCTAAGTGAATAGAGAGAGATAGATGCTATAGCGACAAAGAGAGAAAGAGAGAGGGAGACAAAACATGCGTGAGAGGGAGACAGATGCGCTACAAGTCAATGAACTCAAAAGCTGACGCCTTTTCCTTAAGAAAAAGCAACTTTTGCGCTCCTAGTGAGCATGGAGGACCCAAGCCAAAGTTCAAAGACCTTTTATGAAAAGGTACTCAATCAGAAATATGCATTGAATGTAAACATTTTAAGTCTTATACAGTTCTCTTTGAACATGGAGTACAAGCATAAGAATTGAAAGCAATATGGGAATACATAAATGAAGGATATAAATAAATATATAACATAATTAGATATATAGATATATATATATATATATATATTATATATTATATATATATATACATATAACATTCGTTACATTTTGTAGACTATAAACGTTCAGCTGATAAACTAAAGCTAGCTGAGCTTTGAAACTCAAGTTGATGTGGAGATCCAATAGATGTTAGCTTTCTAATTAATCAGATCAATTACATGAAACTAGCCCAAGCTGTTTTGAGCACACTATAAACATGAATACATAGTTGAGGCTATTCTCAGTGTTAGTTAGAATTTCGACTGCAGCAATGGATTCTAGGTCTCAGGACATGGAGGCTGATCTTATAATCGACTCGACTCACTTGGCCGCAACGACTGAGGGCGGATAACGCGTCAACATGGGCATCGTTCCATTGTGTGCGACCTTCTGCTGCTGCTGCTGCTTTTGCTGCTGTTGCTGTTGCTGTTGCTGCTGTTGCTGTTGCTGCAGCTGCAATTGCTGTGCGTTTACAATGTGCGGAAAGCGATGCGATCCCGCCAATAGGCGCTGATAGGCCTCAACATCGGCACGCGCCGGCAGCATGGCTGTTGGCGACACCGAAACGCCGCGCTTTCCAAGCTGCTCGTGGTCCATATCAACGGCCTCGTCCAACGGACTGTGCTCCTCCATTTGGGCGCGCATATCGTAGCCGTTGTGCTGCAACAGTCCGCAGACATCATCGTCGCCGTCGGCATAGCCGGCCGTTTCCTCGGCGCCAATGTCGCCCATGCCATCATCCTCGGCATCATCCACAATGCCATCGCCAACGCCGCCGTCGCCGTCACCATGCGCTGCCAGTTCATCATCGATGTGGAGCGCTGCATGTTGCTGTTGCTGCTCATCATCGCTGTCCAGCTGCTCCTCCTTGATCAAGCCCAGGCCGAGGCTGTAGGGCAATGAAAGCTGCTGACGTTCGTGCTCCAGCTGTTGCTGCTGCTGCTCCAGTTGCTGTTGATGCTGCTGCTCAAATTGCTGCTGTTGTTGCAATTGCTGCTGCAGCTGCAACTGTTGCTGTTGATGTTGGTGCTGCTGTTGCTGCTGCTGTTGTTGCTGTTGCTGCTGTTGCTGCTGCTGCTGCTGCTGCTGCTGTTGCTGCTGCTGCTGCTCCTCGTTGGCCTGATCCACGACACGCTCATGCAAGCTGACGCCATTCACCAGACTCTTGCGCAGTCGCCAGGCGAAGGTGCGCGAAATATTTAGCTCGTTCGCAATTACCGTGGTCGTTGCCTCGCGCAATATCAGCTGCTTGGCCAGGGCAATCTTCTTGGCGTCCAGCTTGATGCGAGTGCGTCCCTTGCGCTTGTTGGTCATGCCCAGTCTAAGCGGGAAGCGGAAAAGGCAAATCATGTCAATCGAGGGAGTAACTTGATCGAGGCTCAAGGCTCTGTCACTTACTTGCGATTGTTGAGATGCAGCGCAGCAGCATCTGGGGGCGGTTTGCGTGGCGCCACGCGCTTCGGAAAGTTGTTGAACTGCACAATGTTCTGCTTGAAGAGCTGCTGCAAAGGCCTGCAAGGAACGAGAATCGCATTAGATGAGCCTCTCCTCAACTGCTCAAGTGGATGACTTACATCTTGGCCGCCTTGGAGGGGCAGCCAGTGCGCTTGTGCCAGCCCAGATGATGGCCGGTGGGAAAGAGCACATGGCAATCGGAGCACTGCATGGGCCGACTGCAAGCGAGTTGGACAAGGAATTAGCTAAATGCTGGCGAGGATTATGAGTTCTTCGCTGAGTGCAACTTACGTTTGATTGCGTCGCTTCTTGACGCAACGACCGCGTCGTATGTGCTTCTCGAGAAAGCGCTTGTAGAAGTAGGTCTTGCGGCAGTTGGTGCACTCGTAGACGGGTCCCGGTGTGCCGTGCACGCTCTGCATGTGCGCCTTGAGTATCTGCTTCATCTCGAAGGTGTGGTAACAGTGCGGACACTGAAAGCCACGACCTCCAGCAGCAGCAGCGGCGGCGGCAGCGGCAGCAGCCACAGCCGCCGCAGCAGCAGCTGCTGCATGCACCCCACCATCGGCGGCAGCAGCAGCAGCAGCTGCAGCGGCAGCGACTCCTCCATTGAGCAGACCAGCTGCCTCGTTGTCGCTGCCAGTTAGCATTGATGGATCTGGGTCTGAGGGCGTGATTAGCTCAATCTCCGGTATCAATGGCAATGGCATCTCCTCGTCATCCTCATCATCGTCCTCGTCGCCATCGTCCGTGGCACCCAGCACATGGTGGCTGTTGCCATTGGGAAACTTATTCATGCGTCGCTGCATATACTCCTGCATCAGGCGTATCGAGTTGAAGGACACGTGCTCTGGCATTTCGTTGTCCTCGTGCGAGGACAACGGCAATGGTTCCTCCTGTTCCAGCTGCTGCTCGAGCTCTTCGCTGTGCTCCTGCTCCTGCTCCTGTGCCAGCTCCTGCTGCTCTGAGAGCTGCTGTTGCTGTTGTTGTTGTTGTTGTTGCTGCTGCTGGTGTTGCTCTATCTGATGTCCATTGCTCTTGGCGTGTCCATTCTGTGCGCTCGCATTGCCAACAACATCTTCGGCCATCGCATTCGTCCCTCCCTCCTCCTCCTCATTGCCATTATCCTCCTCCTCCTCATCGTCGTCATCGGAGCTGCTGTTGCTGCTGCTGCTGCTGCTGCTGCCACTGCTGCTGCCGCTGTTGCTGTTGCTGTTGCTGCCGCTGCTGCTGTTGCTGTTGCTCTTCGCCTGCCCGCCAGCAGCAGCGACGTCAGGAACAGCCGCCTCCGACTCACCCCTCTGCTCGGCCGTGTGTCCCTCGATCTTCTTGATCAGCAGCTGCTGCCGATAGAAGTTGTCAGCATCCTCGCACTTCTTCTTGAACAGGCACGCCGAGATCGCCGTCTTGGCACAGCTCACACACACCTGTTGCGGCAAGGTGTCATTCTTGGCGATCTGCAAGGCAAATTGAAAGCTGATTTAGTACTCATTCACAAGCATCTATTGCTCCTTAGGCTAGGAAACACTCGTAGTACTAGTACTAGCGAGGCAGTTACAGATAGCTATCATATTAATAATACTAAAAATACAAATAATACTAAAACAGTTTTTAAAATACTAAAAATATTGAAAATAATAATACTTAAAATATATTAAAAATACTAATAATACTAAAAATGCTAAAGATAATAATGTTTAAAATATTTTTCAAAATATTAATGCCAAAAATAATTAATAATAATTAATGCTAGAAATAAATATTTAAAATACTACAATAATAATATATAATATACACACGATACTATATTATATTTACTTCTAATGCTAAAAACACATACTAATATTAACGTGAATAACAATAGAACAGAAAAAGTTGTTTAATTCCATTTTCAAGGTTAAAAACTTTAACCGAAGAAAAAAAATATATATATAACAATTATATATGTGTATTTATGTATATTTTATTTTTTTTTTTTTTTTTTTTTTTTTTTTTTTTTTTTTTTTTTTTTTTTTTTTTTTTTGGTATTTACGCATTTTATGATTTTATTTTACGAGTTTTTTCTTAATTTAATTTTAGGTCGACGAACTAAATCACAATCAATTTGTAAAGCTAAAGGAACAATAGACAAAAAATGAAAATAATAAAGAAGGAAAGAAACAGAAAACGTCTCAACAGGTTTTGTATGTATGTGTATGTGTGTGTGTATTTTTATTATTTAATGAACAAAATAGAAATAATAGAGGATAGGTAGATAGAGGTCGGTAGGTAGGTATAGGTAGATAGGTACATATAATCATGTTCGTTAAACAGAAACCTTGATATGGAAAAACTGTTTTATTTACACAAGAATTAGCAGAGCTAAAAAAATAAATACAAACACACATAAAGAATACTCAAGTACGCACACACACACGCAGGTATATACGTATACATACATGTGTGTCTCTGTGTGTGTGTGTATACATTCATTTAAAGTATAATAAACGCGATCTGCTTGCCATCTTATATTTCATAATGAAATAAATATAAATGCAAAGCAAATGAATAAAACTGAATAATAATATGGAAAAAAGAGAGAGAGAGAGAGAGAGAGAGAAACAAAGTACGTCTTAACTCGCTCTCAAATTGAACCAGCCAGAAAACCAGAAAAACATTTCACATTCAGGAAAAATTACAAACAACAAATAAATTGCATGTAAGAAACAAAAACAAAAATAAAAAATACATGAATGGAATGGAATGGAATGGAATAAAATCAAAGCAGCGCTCGCAGCGAAGTTTATAACGACGACGACGACAACGACAACGTTGAGGTGCGAAGCAGAGTGAGAGGAACAAGAGTTCCCGTCGTTGTCGCAGTTCCGTCAGCTGCGTCCCGCCCCCTTTTGGGTGGCAAAGGGGCCAACGAACGTCTAAGCCGACTCTACTACAAACTAAGTGAATGAGTGCCGCATGCCGAGAGCGCAGCGCAAGTGAGATGGAAATAGTCAAGAGCGAGCGGCGGAGAGCGTAGAGCGTAGAGCGCAGTTTTGAACGCGAGAGCGCAGATGCGAGAAGCAATAACAACAAACGCAGCAACGACGCAGCGCAGCTCAGCAGCAGCACAAAATTGTAAAAGAAAAATTTATGGAATTAAACCAAACATATGAATTATACATTCACATGTGCATGAGTATGCAAGCGTGTGTGTGTATGTGTTTGAGAGACGTCAAACAAAAGAAGAAAAATGTGTATATATGCATGTGTATGTGTGTGTATTTATAAGCAGACAAGCATAAGCAGCAATTGAAACGGTAAATTATTTTACAAAAGCAGCAAACGAAAGAAAACTAAACACAAGAAACAGAAGAAATTCCACTTAAAAAAAAATTATGAACAAATATACATATGTATAAGATTCCATGGCTAAAAGCCTTATTCACCTTAAATATATATATATATGTATATTCAGATATATGTATGTATATATATTTATATAAGACATAAATATATGTATGTTTATAATACCAAAAACTAACCGAGCTGAAACTGATCCAAAGAAACAAACAAAAAAGAATTACGAAAAAAAATAAACACACAAAAGCAAACGAAACGAAACGTTTTTTTTCGCTGCTGTTGTTTTTATTTAATGTCAGTTACTGTGAAAAGATAAAAAAAATGCTGTGAATTGCGGCTATTCTATGAAATATGTTAATACAAGATATATTCATACATATATATGGTATATATAGACCCTATACCGTTTTAGCCGCTTAGAGCAAAAAACACCTGAATGGCTAGCTCAACTTGTTGAATAAGTTCATTTATTCGATATTTCGATCCAGTGAATCAATTGCTCACTTCCATTATTATTTCCGTTACATTTGCGTAACTTGTTCTCGGAACTGAAACTATAGTTCCCCATTTGTTCTTCTGTCAAATGAAGTATTTTCAGAACAAACATAATCAATCGTCAATCATAATTGAACTAGTTCAAATGAACCAACGGCAAGAATTTATAGTTAGAATGATATGTTGTCATACTATTCCGTAAGTAGTTTCATTACCCATTCATTTCTGATTCGTTCAATCGAACTAGTTCAAATATACTATATGAATAAATTAATGTTAAGAATGGTGTAAAAGGCTCTTCTTTTTTAAGTTGGTTCAGTTGTGGTTCAATCTATTGAGTCCTTCAATTGAACTAGTTCGCAGTAACTAACTTTATTAATGATCATAATGTCTTTCATTTCCATTAGTTAGTAAATTCAACTAGTTCAGTATAATGAATAGTATTTAAGAACATTACACTTACGCTAAATTTACGAATATTTTTTCTTAGATATCGTTGGCCAAACACAATGATGACATATCCTAAAAATAGCTTTGCTTACTTATTAATTTTCTATTACTTTGAATGCTAAAAATTCTATAGATAAAATTCTTTAAAAAACCTTTTTTGTGCTATTCAAAGACTTTTAAATTCTTTTGAAGAGCTTTAGAATTGTTTAATGCTCTAATCGGCGTAAGGTATATTCAAATTGGAATTCATATAGAATACTAGATATAGCACATCTACAAAACAGCTTGTCAGACATTTATCTAACTTGAGCTCGAACCAAACAAGTCTTTCTTTCTGAGATCTACAGCAATTTCTTTGTCTCGTGCTTCGTGATGAAAAACAAACAATTCAAAAGTAAACCTTGAACTCGAATTAAATAAATTTATTTTAAAATTGAAGAAATTGGTGGAAACAACAGCAGATTATTCCATATGAAACACAAAGGGTATGAACAGAATCCAAAGTCGAGGGTTGCGAGAATCATTAAATTCTAGTTAAATTATCTGATTGGAAAGCGTGCACATGTAAGTTAAGCTATAGTCTGATTGGGAAGCGTACAAGCTCGTGTATACGATCAAATTTTCCAGTCGAATCGTATGATTATCTTACCTTAACATCCGCCAATGTTGTGATCTTTTGCCAAAGGGAATCCTCGCCGAATATGGAAATCATTTGCATAGAGTTTGTGTGCGATGTGATGCAAATGCGACATAATTGCGGATTGCATATCTCGGCGTCCATTGTGATGAATTATTAAGAGATCAGGGTGTGTGGCTGGAATTATTGTAGAAGATGTGGCCCTGGTCGTGATGCGTCGTTATGGAATGGAACTTGAAATTGGAATTGGAACCGTAGCTGGAACTGTGACTGAAACTGGAGTCGGAGTTAGAGATGGAGGCGTATAAGCAGCCAGCCGGCCAGCCAGCCAGCTGCATGCCAGTTCTGCTCCTCTCTAGCTTCGCACTGCCGTTATTTATCCACGTTCCCGCTGCGGCGACGGCGACATTGGTCTTCAAAGCGAAACAGCCGAAAAACGAATAACAACAAAATCAACAAGTGGCTCCGAATTTGCCGAACTGACAAGAGTGTGGCGAAATGTTTGGTGCGTTTTCCTTTACTTTGATAATTGTACTTGTATTTGAATTTTTTTATTCTTTTGCTTTATAGGAAAAGACGACGGAAAACGTTGACGCGGTTGAAGTGGCGGCGATTTGGGTACTGAAATGGAATATAGAGAACAAGAAACTATTTATTAATAATGAGAGAGTCGGAGAAATATAAAAAATACATACGAACAAAAAACAAACGTAGACGAAAACTAAATAAATAAAAGTAAGAAAAGAAACAACAAGAGAGGAAAAAATTGAAATTCAAGAAAATAAAAACACGCACACAATAAACACACACATACACACACACGCTGGCAAACAAGCCATCCCCTGCCCCTGCTTTGTCACCTTCAAGCGCAACCCAATCTATATATGAGACTCGAGCATTTTTATTATTGTGTAGATTCCAAAAACAACAACAACAACGGTAATACAATTCTTACTGTCGTAGCTACAGACACACTTACATACATACGAACTTGATACACACACACAAACGCAAACGAAAATAAAATTACACAAAAGAAAACAAGTCAAAACTAAAAAAAAAAAAACTAAACTTAAAAACATGCACACACACACATGAATACACATACACACACGCACACACAGACAGTGAGAAGCGAACAAATAAATAATAGCAAAAATCGTAACGAAACGAAATAATAAAATAAACTCTATGAGCCGGATGACTGCTACTAAAGGCACGAATGCAAGGGGGAGGGGGAGAGGCAGTTGCGAGAGCTGAGGTGAGGTGAGGTTAACCGCCACAAAAACTACAACACGATAAATTCATGTTCTCTCGCGCTTGCTCGCGCGCTCTCCCACTCTCTTAATATATCTGTGTGCGTGTGTGTGTGTACGCTTAAAAGGGTAAGCAAGGACGGCCAAAGGGAGAACTCAAGTCGTTGGTGGTGGGAGTAAGAGATAGAGGTAGAGGAGAAGTAGAAGGAGAAGTGGGCTAGCTGCGGGTGTTGCAGCACACAAAACTACGCAAAATGCCAAGGGCTTTGCATCCTTAAGTGAAGGCAAGCAAGCATCTGCATATTACTTGCGCGAACACAACTTTTTTATGCATCTGAGGCAAAAAGGAATCAGCTAAAAGTTGCCACATACATATATATATATATATATATATATATATATATATATATATATATATACATGTAATTCGTACAAGAAAAGCAAGAGATAAGGTGCTAAGCTTTACAAGTACTATTGCAACAAAGATATACTGAAAAAATTAATAAAGTCATTAATATTAATGTTAATTATGCGGTAAATTCTAAGCTTGCAAAAATTGCACTACAAAATTGCAAAAATACGCACACTTAGAACACCTCATCAAATGCACACAATGATCAACACTGAAATGCCAATGCGAGTTTTCCAATAGAGCGAGGAATGTAAAATTCCTGAACCAGTTCCAGATGACGACAACGCGCTTCTTGTGCTATTCAAATGATGGAAATCAAGCGAAACAACAACAACTAAAGCAACAAAATGGCAAAGTCAAATTTCGATGGGATCGCACTGAGTAGTAGAAGACGAAGAAGAAGAAGAAGAAGGAAATCATAAGATCTAGAAACTGCAGTCAGTCTCGCAAATAGAAACAAGAAATAAGAACATGCAATAACTACGCAAACGCTTACAGCGACTCTTACACACACACACACACAAACACACATGCACATGCACACACACGTACACAAACAGTCATAGTTAGAGACACCAGCAACGACCTGGAAACTGGAACTGAAAACCCAACCAATTTGCAATACATATTTGTACGACCGAGTACTTATACGTACGTACAATTCCCGTCTCCATGTCTTTTTTTCTTGTCTGAATATAACTACAATAATATATGTGTGTACACACGTTAGTATACTTACAAACATAACTATGTACATGTATGGAATATCTGTATAATTTATAAAGACACTCGCAAACATACATTCATACATTCATAACTATGTGCATGTGTGTGTGTTTTTATGTGCCCTGCCCGCATATGGAACGTTCAATCGGTAACCTCCCCCTTCCCTTTGATACCCTGCACCTTATTTCAGCCATTAGCATTCATTGTGTTGTCCAAGAGTCGACTCTGCAAGCTCTTTTGTTTAGAGTTTAAAATAAAATTAAATAAATTGAAACCATAGTAAAGAAAAACAGCAATGGCAACAGTAATGAATACAACGTTAACGTCAACATCAACGTCAACGTCAACGTCAACGCCAACGTCAACGCCGACGTCGACGCCGACGTCAACATCGCCGTTAATGTTAAAGTCGCTCGCGGTTTACATATGAGGAAATATTACATTTTATAACAAACATACGAAATGCATGAGCATGGATAATGAAAGAGTAATAACGGCAGCGACAGCAGCAGAGCAACACAGCAGCGCAGCAGCTACTGCCGGCATACACTAAGAGCTAAGAGCGCTTACACACACACACACACACACTCAACTAAAGAGAGAGACGAAAGCCTCACTGCTACTAAATAGTAATGGCAGAAAAGTCAAGAAACTCAACATTTGTCTCTTCTTCTTCTTGTTGGTGTTGCTATTTTCTGTTCCTGTTGGCCCGTTCGTTGCTTTAGTTTTTTTTTCAGTGTGCTAAAGTCGTAGTCCAAGTCGCAGCCAAAGTGCCCAACGGACAACTATTAAAGAAAAACAACAACAACAAAAACAAAGAGACGATGAAAAACAAATACACGCTACTTACACTTACTAGCCATACATAACTACAATACATATGCATCTCTCCATATCTCTCGCTCTATCTTTCTCTCTCTCTCAATCTCTCTCTCTCTGTCTTGCTTACTGCCTGTGTAGCGCACGTACATTTAATACTTAACTCAACCTCTTGTGTCGTCGCCATCGTCGTAGTTGGTCTGTGTGCTTTAACTTTGTCTTTTTTTTTTGATTTTTTTATTCAGCTATTGTACAGTTCCACAGAAAATTTATACAACGCACGGACGGTGAGCGGCTACGAAGTCATAAAGGATGGGGAGGAGGGGGTGGAAAGCAATGGTACGTACAATTTAATATTTGTGTGAGCATATTTGCGGACACGAACACACATACATAGACCAAAAAGAGAGAGAGAGAGAGAGAGAAAAACAGCGCTGAAGACTTGAGGAACACACATCGGATAGAATGAAGACGAAGTTGGCGCACTGATAGATTTACACACACACTTACGTCGTGGCTTATACTTGCATATACATACACATATGTGAGTCTGTGCCTGTGTGTGTGCGCACTAGATAAATTCTAAACGCTGTCGTTGACTTAGAAAGTATCTATTGAAAGAAATAGTGCGCGCTTCTTCTTATACCCTGTAACCATAAAATGCGCAAAAATTGAGTACAATAAAATTGTGCAAATGTAAGAAGAGGAATGCGAAAAGCATAAAGAAGATGTGATACGCACACAAATATATACATACCTAGCACACACACGAGCACAGACAGTGACTCGCTCCCAATTGTAAATTAGCATAAATTGAAATTATGCAGAAATTTGGAATTTTAATTTAAACTTCGCAGAAAAAGTTTGTTTATTTTTTTAATTTTAATTACTTTTTGAATAGAATAAAAAAACAATTTAGATAGGCACTTCATATATTCTAAATGGAAAGCTAAACAGAACCGGCGTTGAGCGACTCTAATTAGGATAGACCAGTTCAGCGCAAGTTGTATTCGTATGAAAATTTGAAATAAGTTTGATTTGTTATTGATATTTCAATAAGTATAAACATAAATATAAATATAAATATAAGTACTTTAAAGTTTTTTCACATAAAAGACATAAGACATAATTAAATGCATTTTTATATAAGTAACTAACTCCATGTAATATTCCTATACCTTTTCGATATTTTCGACATGTGCGTGGTAATTTACAAACTCACGACAATGAGCACACAATCTGTAGTATAATTCACATCTACTTGCTATAACAATGGATCCGGAAGAGCAGCTAAACAGCTATACATATAAATGTTTATATATATACATATATATATATATATATATATATATATATATATATATATACATATATATATATATATATATATATATATTTATATATTTATTATATGATGAGGTAGATGAAGCTTCAAAGCAAAACCAATAGAAAGATGGGGAGAGAGAGAAGTTGAAATTCAACACCTATGAAATAATAATAGTACACCTGTGTTTATTCATTTATTTATATAAACATAGATATCTATATTGTTCGAACTATAGATATAACAATATCTAGATACATGCACATATGTCCACAAATGTGTATCTCCTATTTCGTTTACATAGTTAGATGATATAAATTGTTTTGGATATGTATTCCTAGTGGTTCAATCCACCACAATTTGGCCTTTTCTAGCCCATATCAAAGACAATAATTGGCCAAAAGTCGAGCTAAGCCTATGTATATAGTAAAAGATACATGTTTTGCACCATAAGCAATATACTATATACTATTTACTAATCATATATCTATATATGTATTTATATTCCTACACATATCGAATGATATTTAATAGCTTGATTGGTGGAACTTGCACCAAATTGTGTAAACATTTTCCGAGTACTACATAAGGTAACAAAATATACAAAAATAACGGCTTGTGTTTCGCAAAAAAACATTGTGAAATTCACAGAAATCGAAAATGGATATATCACAAATGCAAATTGAATAATGGGAATTAGAGAAAGGAACAGCGAGAGGGGGAGAGAGATGTATAATATATACATATACACATATGCACATATTCGTATACAGATACATATACACATACACATATATGTATATCTATGTGTGTATATATGCATGTATCTGTATACAGATTAATATCATGTACCTAAGTTGGGGGCAAAGGAATGCGCTAAAGCAAGTCGCAAAAATAAACAACTGCCGATAATGACGATTATGATAAATCCAATGATAATGACGATGATGATGAGGAAGCTCACGTAGGATGTGAGCAGGCAAAGCACATCAAATTGGAAGAAGCAAAAGTAGGAGATGAAGCAGAAGCATTAGTTAAAGT